TACTAAAAATAAGTGCCCCATACATTTCTTCCCCGTTATGTTGTATATTAAATAGGGCAGTATCAGCTGGTAAATTTCCCTTACGGATGAAATATTCGATTGTTAGCCCTCTATATAAGAAGGGAAATAGAGAAAATTGTTCTAATTATAGACCAATCTCCTTGTTGACATCATTTTCCAAGGTGTCTGAAAAAATTATCTTTAGAAGATTATTAACACATGTCTGTGCTACTGATATCTTGGCTAGTGAACAATTTGGATTTCGTCCTAACCTTTCCACCGAGACTGCTTCATATGCTCTATTAAATAAAATATTAACAGCCATCAATAATAAAAATAAAGTAGGCGGAATTTTTTTGATTTGGAGAAAGCTTTCGATTGTGTAAACGAGTGGTTAGCAAACTACGGCCCGCGGGCCAGACGCGGCCCCCTGATAGGTTCTATCCAGCCCGCGAAATGATTCCTAATCTGACGAATGAAAAGAAGAAGAATTAAGGAAAATAAATAATTCTGGATTATTTTCTTCTTCTTTCCTCCCTTTTATGTTTAGCCTAGTGACCACAGATTAATTTATTTACTTATCCACTATGGTATTGGAATGCTATGTTAACATTTGAGAGTGAGGCACTGGCTGCTGGCATTTTTGTAGCGAAGAGTAAAACTGGCAACGGAGCCTCCTCGCTGTACCCCCTCCACATTACATCCACTGCAGCTGGCTACTAACACCACATTCTTTTATTCAGACCCGGTCGCACTATTGTTGTAGGTGTTTGCTAGTTTTACTGTGCACATTCGTGAAACATTTCAGCCCTAAGATGTCAACTAAAAAAAGTAAAGTTGATTCAGAGTGCCGTGTTTTCAAAGATGGACTTGGAAGTACTTTTTCACAGCTTTTAAGGATAAACCACTGTGTCTTATCTGCAATGAAACCATAGCAGTCTACAAAGAATACCTTTCCCGGCACTTTATCTCTAAGCATTAGAATGCTAATTACGGAGCCATGACCGGAGATGAAAGGAAACAAAAAGCAGAAGACCTATGTAAAAAACTGTCAGGTCAGCAAAGTATTTTTAAGAAAGTAAATAGTTCTCAGAAAGCAGCTACACATGCAGGTTATGTTGTAGCATACAATATTGCTAAAAGTAACAAAGCTCTCTCTGATGGGGAGTTTGTTAAATACTGCATGCTCAAAGTTTGTGATAATTTATGTCCTGACAAGACAAAGGATTTTGAAACTGTAAGCTTATCTCGAAAAACAGTGACTTCTAGAATCGAAGTCATAGATAAAAACATATTATCACAGTTGGAATCAAGGATTGCTCAATTTAAATTCTGCTCCATTACTATGGATGAATGCACTGATATAAATGATACTGCACAGTTGCTATTATTTATAAGATGTGTTGACAAAAACTTCTCTATTACAGAGGAATTAGCATGCATGCGGTCGTTAAAGGGAACTACAACAGGGTCAGATATTTTTCATGAATTTCTGGAAGGCCTTTCAACTTTGAAAGTACCTATAACTAGCATATGCAGTATTACGACAGATGGAGCACAAAGTATGACAGGGACAAAATCTGGATTTGTTGGGATCTTTAATCAAGAATATCCCGAGAACAATGTTGTATTTCTGCATTATGTCATACATCAAGATGCCCTGCGTAGATCTGCCTTGGATATGAAACCTGTGCTTGATGTCATTGTGAAGCTTGTTAATGCCATTCGATCTCGAGGGCTTACTCACAGACAATTTCGAGAGTTTCTTGACTCCATGCAATCAGAATACTCTGATTTACTGTACTACTCGAAAGTAAGGTGGCTTAGCGCGGGACGCGTCTTCGAGCGAGTCTGGCAGCTGAAAGACGAAATAGTGTCATTCTTCCAAGAGAAACAGTGGTTTGTAGAATGTGAAATACTGGAAGATACTGTGTGGCTTTCGGACTTTGCATTTTTCACAGATCTTCTCTGCCACCTGAACAAGTTGAATGTCAAGATGCAAGGAAAAAATCAATTTATTGATGATATCTGGGGCCATATCAGAAGTTTTAAACTACAACTTGTTCTGTTTGCAGATCAGCTAGCTAAGAATGACTTGTCTCACTTCCCGAGGTTAAATTCAATAGCCCCAGTGATGAAGGACAAGCTTAGGAGCTACGAGGATAGCCTGAGAAGACTCCGTGTTGAATTTGAACGAAGATTTCAAAACTTTAGTGCCATTGAAAAAGACTTGGATGTTTTCAGTATGCCTTTTAATGTAGACTGTGAAACAGTGAAACCGGACTTGCAACTTGAATTAATTGAGTTGCAATGTAACACTCAACTCAAACAGTTGTTTCTCAATGTCCCAAAATTAGAGTTCTAAAAGTCCTTGTCGAAATCCAGTTTCCCAAATCTGATATCTCATGCCCAGAAAGTCACTGCTATGTTTGCTTCATCCTATATATGTGAACAGGTGTTTTCTACAATGAAACTTCGAAAGAGTTGTATTAGAAACAGACTGACAGATGAGCATTTAACTTCACTTCTGAGAATCAGTGCATCCCAGTTCGAACCAGATTATGAGAAAATTTTGGAAATGCAGTCACAGTTTCATTCATCACATTCTCCTTCATAATCTTTCAATCATTAATAGGGCTTAGTATTACAAGAATTTTGTAAAATCTACCATTATTGTTTTTAATAAATTATATTGGCCCGCCTAAAGTTTTTTCTTTTTTCTTTGGCCCCCTCCTAAAAAAGTTTGCCCATCACTGGTCTAGACAATCGGCTAAAATATGGTGGTAAGGTTGTCAGCCCTACGCGCTGGCCGCACTTTACCCCCCAGGAAAATTCCTGGTACTCATTTCTGTTAGAAGCTCAGTCGAATCCAGGGCAATAGTGCGGCTGGAAGAATTAGTTCAATTGAAAAAAATTCAATGACCTCATCGGGACTTGAACCCGCGACCTTCCAGCTTGTAACATAGTACCCCTACTTTAATAAAATATATTGTCACATGTTTGCTGTGTGCAATGCGACAAATAACTTCACGCCAGTCTTGGATGTACCGAATATTTATTGTACTTCACATTTACACTTACATAATTCACATATCACAATTGCTGCCTTAACTGAACCTTTCAACTCTCAACTTCAACTATCTTCGGCGGCTGCTATATTTTAACTGTACTGCCTCAAAATCAAAGTCACATTGCGACTGACGGCCAGTCAGTCGGTAAGTCTTTGTGTCGAGACCAGATACTTATTACTGTTTGACAGTTATGGTCTTGTTTTCATGGGGTGCCCTCTCTGATGAGAGGATATATATGCTGCTGGCCCTTAGCAGCGCAGTCTTTCTTGGGTCCGAGTCCCTTGGGACTTGTAACCATATTTTACTGTCTCAGATTTGAGACTACACTTTCCGTCGCCTCCTAAGACTCGCAGGGTCACGGTGGAGGTTTTCGACCCCGCCTCCACACGGGTTAACTGTACTGCCTTGTGCATTGAACCCCCTTACACAGGCTTCTCGGGGACCATAGAAAAAACAGCCTATATTGTTGGGCATGCTTACCGACCGATTGCCTAGCAATGGTCGCTGCACAGAATTCACTGCTGCGTGACGTCACAGCCTAGCGGGGGGGGGGGGTGTTTAAGGAGCGTTGCATAATGACGGAATGAATGGCGATGTGACGTCACTTGTGGAAACGCAGAGGTCACATGACCCCTACTTCCTGTTGCGCTATCCAAACGTTCACAGAGTTGTGGCATAACAATGTGACCAGCAACTCTAAAGTTGCGCGCGCACCCCGAGGCCTCTGTGGCTCAACAGTTCCTGCATGGAGCAAATATGCCACAGTGCTCTCTCCTTAAGGCTGTTCGTCTCAAATAGCGTAACGGTGCATCCCCATTCCTTTCTTCCGGTTGTTTCCATGGATTCCTGCTAGCAACGTCTGCATTCGGTCTTGCTATTCTTCACGTGTTTCTGCAGTGTTCATTCTACGGCATCCGCCCCTCCTTCAAGGGTGCTCGTGCCGAGCAGCTCCATGGTAGAGTGCAATATATTTACACTACACCTTTTTCTCACTGGGAATCACGCTTTTTAATCAGTGCTGGACCAGTATTTTTGACATGTATTACACAATTTTAGTTATGCGTAAAATTGACGCAATGCGCATCAGCCTTCGTATTGAATTAAAGCGCTGATGTCCTTGCCCTTTTCCTCGGAAGAGGAACGGGGACCTGCCCCCTACTTGGTTGGTTAGGAAGTGACTTTGTGCTCTGCGAAGTCACGTGATGCCATGACTTAACTCACAGCCTGCAATGGCCCGACTGCCTATAAATCCACGGTAGATACCGGGGTGACAAACCTCAGCTAATTACAACATAAATGCACCCGCTTTACAGCATCCATTCCTTCCTAAAATATTCCAAAGCGTCCCAAAAGAAATTCTCCAGGTCTTATAATTTTGTGAAATGTTGCATCAGACACTGGCCCCTATCCTTAGCCAGATGATTTCACTCCATATTCCCTTCTTTAAGCATACAGAATACACAGCATCAGCCTACCTTCACACTTTTCTGAGGACAACTGTAACTTGCAAATCCATTCTTGTGCTGCCCACTACTTCATATGGTGAAGACACACAAAATTCAACACATATTCCAGGATCATGAAGCAAGATCAGTTCTGGTGATGCAGCGACAGCCAATGTGTGGTGACACAAGAGGAAGAGCTCTGCTGATGCAAAGTTATGGTACACNCTTGAGTCATTCCACTACATCAATACTCTGAATTCCAATTAATAATATTGACACAGAGATATTGGGTTTACGGACTTTATCCATCGTCCTGGTTTTAAAGATAACTAACAAAAACATGACGTTTCAGAAACTGGATCTGTTTCCGTCCTCAGGTGAGGGAAAACATCTATTCTGTTGGGTCCCTTAGAAAGAGCTAGCCTCAATCACTGGACAACCTATGTCACAAAATACAAAGGTTATAAACACCTGAGACCAGGCTAGGTCCATGAGGGCTAATAAGAAAAATATACATAACAAATTTTTCCAAACACGTACAAGCATGGGACCAGGACAGATAGAGCAGTAGAAATTTGTCATGAAACCAACTAATAACCAGGTCCATGACACCACAGTATGGAATAGAAAAGGAGAACTAGTAAGAAACTAATAGTGACCAACTAGCGTCAACAATGGAGTAAATCACGTCTATCTAATTTAGAACCTAATAGAAATCAATAAAAACATATATCACGTCATACAAGTCTTCTATGTGAATTGGTGACTTCATTGCTGATAATGGGGATCCAAATGGGAGAAAAGCTCAAACTGGGTTGGCTAATTGGGTTGGCCGAGCATGCCATATGGGCCGCTTCCTTGTATTTCCTATACCTGATGTGGCTTTCGATATCCAAAATCTTAGCTTCATCCCAGCCTACCTTATGTCCCTCTTCATAGGCATGTTGAGCTAGTTTAGATTTTTCTAGAAGACCTTCTTTGAGGTTATGCCTATGTTCCCGGAGCCACACGGCCAGAGGTCTGCCTATTTTGCCAATGTAGCTTCTGCCACATTTACAGGGAATGCTATAGATGAACTGTGCTGTCTGTTGCGGATCTCTTTTCGGTCTGGTTTTCATTAGAGAGTTCCTAAGAGTGTGTTTTGTTTGGAAGATGGTCCTAATATTATATCGACTGCCTATCCGTTTAAACTTTTCAGAAACACCCTTCACATATGGAATAAATACAGAACACAGAGGTTTTTCCCCTTTCTTCGGATGACTACTGTCCTTGGAATTAATGACCGAGTCAATGAAGCCTTTGGGATAACCGTTCAACTGAAGATCATGTCTCAGGTTGTTAATTTCTTTGACCAAATCTCATCGATCTTGGCATATGGTGGAGGCTCTGTCATGGAGACTTTTAATCAAGCCTCTTTTTACATGTGGCGGATGGTTAGATTTGAAGTTGAGGATTTGGCCAGTGTCGGTGGATTTCCTGTATATTTGTGTGACTAGTGCCGTCTCTTCCCTGATGACCAGAACGTCCAGAAAAGAGATCGCATTGTCTGAATAAGTTTCCATAGTGAAGCAGATGGAAGGCCTTAAACTGTTGAGGTGGTCGAAGAAATCCTGTAATCTCTCTGGACCATTAGGTCAGACTACAAAGGTGTCATCCACGTATCCCAGCCACAACGATGGTTTGTACGGTGCTGAGTCAAGAGCTAGGTTTTCAAAATGCTCTATGAAGATGTTGCTAATGATGGGTGAGAGAGAATTTCCCATAGCCATGCCATCTTTCTGTTGGAAGAAATTGTCGTCGACCTGAAAATAGGTGGTTCTCAAACAGACTTCCAGCAGCTCCATGATGGTTTTGACCTGCAAGACAGACCATTCCGTCAGTGTGACATCGTCATGGAGCTTGTTTTCAATGATTTGGAGATTAGCTCTCATGGCCTTAGCCTGGTCTCAGGTGTTTATAACCTTCGTGTTTTGTGACATCAGTTGTCCAGTGATTGAATAGGTGTTTTCCCTCATCTGAGGACGGAAACAGATCCAGTTTCCAAAACGTCATGTTTTTGTTAGTTATCTTTAAAACCAGGACGATGGATAAAGTCTGAAAACCCAATATCTCTGTGTGTTATACACCATCGTCAGAATCCTATAGTAATAATAATGACACTGATTAATTTTATTAAAGAATATTTCACAATTTTCACCTGACAATTTCCATCTAAGGGAAAGGAGACCTAAAGCAAAAAGGAGTGCATCATTGCCAAACCACTTTCTTTTTTTGATCTCATGACAGACCACTCAGTTTCTCCGCTGAATTCACAGTGAAAAGATGTAATCAAGAATTTCATGATCCTTTCAATTAAATTCTCTGTACTACTTAATTTCTCCAAAAGCAGAATCAACCGCCCTTTATTTAACTTTCTTTTTTTTAATCAATATACCAAGTATACCGCAGAAATATATCTTGTCTGCAATGACCAATCCATAACACTCATCTCAATGTACTCAATCCAAGCGATATATCGATCTGAAACTAACTGATCAATGAATTTACTCACATATAATGGCAGAAGAGCATAGATGACAGAACAAATATAATATGATGCTGCTAAATTACGTGTATAAGCTGTCAATCCGTTTCAGTGACTACACTCTACTAATCACTAGCTTCCAATGCTGAATTAACATAACTACAGGAGAATGTCATGTCATGTCATTTCTGTTTCCACTCAACAAGATAGGGCTTGTGCACATTCAGCAGTCAGAATCAAATGGAACTCATTTGCACAGATGTTTTGTACCATGGGACTCAGTTAATTTCCTGTCAGTTATAAAGGTTAGCAACAGTAATAAACT